CGTAAGAGTACAGTCCAGTGAATTGATACACATAAAACTACTATCCAGATGAAATAAACTATTTAAGTAATATATATCTCAGGGTGGATCACTTTAGAAGAGCACATCACTTTGGCTAAGATTTCATGTTGACTGATGGGTTGTAGGCAATATGGCCCTGCTAGCCTTACTGCCGCCTTATGTGATGCTGTATAATTCTGGACTCTATGCCTTTGGTTAAAGTCCCATTAGGGAGGGCGTTCTCTACTATAATAGACAGGATCAGGGTGGGATTAAGACCTGATTTGGGCAGAGGCTACGAACCAAGCCACACACCCTTTGTTTCTTTGGAGGCCTCTTTACCACTCTACCTTAGCAGAGGGGGTGACTTAAGACACCATCTCTCGCTTTCCTTGCATGGGGCACTACTGTACAGTTCTGACATACGTCACCTGAGAGCCAGCCCTCTATTCCTGACTAAGCTTTGGCAGAAGCACGAAGACCTGCAGTGAATTTTGGACATGTTTGGCTTCTGGCTCTGAAACCAGCATTTGACTCGCTTCTGCCTGACCTTCCGATTTGGGAGTGAATTGCACCCACCAACCACCGTATGAGACATTTCCTCAAAGTTTTGTGAGTTTCTGTGGGGCCACTGCAGTGAAGTACAGAACCCAGGGATGCGAGGGAATACACTCAAGGGAGGGGTGAGGGGGAAATGGAGCAGAGTAGGATCTTGGAAGAGCTGGAAATTTGGGACATTTTTCACCTCCAATTCCATGCGACCAGTCTGGTACTAATGCTTCTAAAAAGGAATTATTATCACAACTGAGTTGCTCTTACAACCTGCAGGCTGAAGGCATGTCGCTCAGGCAGAGGCCAGGCACACTGAGGCAGCAAGAGCAAGTTTGGAACTGTATCAGACTTGGGAACCGCAGGCCTCAGAAGTGCTCTAAGGGGGCTTCTGTGTTATTCTTGAGGTAAGTACACTGGACCCAGCTGGTTACCAGAACATTTCCCTGGTTTAGCAACTGAAACCTTTAAATGAGGATCTGACAAATCTGCTTCCGATGTGATTTAACTGTATCGTGAAGAGAGTTCAAAGTACATTCCTGAATCTTGAAAGATGGAGGAGGAACTCCAATAAATGGAGTTAGGAAAGGGTTTCCTTCAAGGCAAGGAAGGCCACACTTGGAAAAAAGGTTCCATTTAGGAATTAAGAAACTTTTCATAGAAAGGTGGCAGTGTCGAATGAACTGTCTTTATAAGTCACTTGATTACAACCAGAGACTAAATGGAGAGTGTGTATTATTAAACGATGAGAGGCCACACAAGAGCATTTCTCATATTAATTACATCTCAGAAAGTCACTCCTTAAGAGGTTTAAATTTTAATGAATTTTTAAGGTCATTAAGATAAAAATAACATTCTTCCATAATGCTTGCTGAGGAGGAAAATATTATTTCATCTTACCTTTCAATGGCTCATCATTTACTAATAAGGGTAAGTTAAATATATATTGCCACCAGGGTTCCATTTCCTACATGCATGGGTTTATTCCCAACAAAACGTGTTTAAACATGTCTCTGCAATCAGTGGACAGCTGTAGATCCATTCAGTTTTATTTTTTTCTTAGTCTCCTAGGGGACTTTCGTAATCAAAGGATACTTTTTGCAGCGTGTGAAAAACAATTCTGAGGTCAGGGCTAATCTCAAAAGTTTTAAACAAAGCTCAAATGGGAATGAATCTCTGCAAATGGCTTAAGCGTTGCAACCAGTTTACAGGAATGCTGCCCCGAAGGTTTTCACACAGACCAAGCTTTATTTAAAGGCAGGATGGGAAGATCTCAAAGATGAATTCAAGGCAATGAGGTCAGCTGAAAAGGTTATGGTGCTGTTTTCTTGGGGGGGGGCGGATTCCAAATGTGTAATCCTGAAAGATTTTTTTGAAAGACGCAAACCCTTCATGGTGGTCTATTATAAGGAAGTTTTAGGAAAACAGACTGGCATCGATGAGAAAAAGGCCAGGAAAGTAAGTCATGCCCAACAGAAATGTGGGTGAAGGGAGACACAGGTCAGTGTAAGACATGAAAAAAAAAGATAATTTATACATTATCAAGGGTTCATGAGGGAGGGAGGGGAAAAATGAGAAGTTGATACCAAGGGCTCAAGTAGAAAGAAAATGTTTTGAAAATGATGATGGCAACAAAAGTACACATGTGCTTGGCACAGTGGATGGATGGATGATGGATTGTGATAAGTGCTGTACGAGCCCCCAATAAAATGATTTAAAAAAAATTTTAAAAAGCAACTAAGTGATGCCAAGGATTTGTTGTTGTTGTTCTTCATGACAATGCGACTCTTCATTCTCCCATGGCAGCAAGCAGGGCTGTCTGAGGTACACTGGCCCCTCCTACCCCATCCTCACATTGTTGCAGCCACACGGCGATCTGACTCGTGCACACCTGACTGCTTTCTTCTCTTGACCCTGTCCCTTATCAATGTGATGCTCCTTCTGCAGGGATTGGTCTCTCCCGCCAAGTGCATGTCGAAGTGCATGTCCAAGTCTCTCTATCCAAAGTGCATGAGACGCCGCATCACCTTCCTGGATTCCAAGGCGTTTTCTGGCTGTACTCCCTCCAAGAGATTTACTTGTTCTTCTGGCAGTCCATAATATCTTCAATATTCTTCACCAAGACCATGATTCAAATGCTGACCTGTGAATGCAACCTACTGACAAGTTGTGCTGTAGTCAATTACTTAATTGATACTTCTAGCCATTGTTTTTATCATACCCACCAAATGAGTAGGTAGGGCTATATAAATATGGGGTATTTGTGGCCCATCAAAGGAAATTTGGATACCAGGTTTATAATGTAATTTAGAGATGTGGCACCCTTGTGGGCTGGCACAATGTAAATAAAGTGCGACGGGTGTGTGTGTGTGGGGGGGCAGTTAACAAGAGGATTGGTAGGTTGTGTTTGCCATCTACTAGGTTTAAAATGAGTCAACCAGAGGCAAAAAGGGAGATCTCACTACCAACAAGAAAGCAGGCAGGAGCGGAGTACATCCTTTGAACCCAAGATTTCCCCAGGTTGAACCTCCACGATCCAGGAGACAGATCACTGTGACACCAGAGACAGTGAGAGACGAGGCAACAATCAGTGGCAGAGAAACGGCAGCAGCAGAAACGGAGGAAGAAAAGCGCCGGCTTCCTAGCAGAATGTCTTTGGATAGGAGGCTCGCTGGTGGCGTGGATTACTTCTAGACGCCAAAGCAGGGAGTGGGTGGGGGGCTAGATTTGCCATCCCATGGAGCTAAAACGGACAGCCTTTGGGCAAAGGCTTACTGGGAGGTTTGAGTGCCTCTCGGT